TCTATTTAAAGAATGAAGATTTTGTTTGCGTAAAAGAAAAGTGTCGTCTGATGATTTATTCTTTTGTTAAATTGTCAAGAAGACATATATGAAATCTTTTTTTTTGACCCATGCGATTCACAAGATTTAAATATTTATGCAACTAATCAAAATATTTAAATGGACAGCAAGGTCGTTTCAAAAAATGATATTCTTTGTAAAGTTGTTTGTTTGCCTCGAAAAGATAATTATGTTTTAATTCCGTATGTGCATGATTTACGACAAGAGTTTATACTTTAAGTAGATTTAGTAGTTTTATAAAAAAAATATATATGATTTGTTGCTTTTTTTTTGTTGATTGTTTTCAAACTTGATAATATTAAAAGAAAAATTAATTAAGTTTATAATGTTTTAGTTGTTACTGGTGTGAATATCAGGATCTCCAGTTGTAATCAAATTCCGTAACTGTCTCTTTTTAATATATTAAAACATTTTAAGGATAAAGTTAGAGTAAAAGGTTAAAAAATACTAGAAAGAAAACAAAAAGAGGGTTAATATACTTTTTAAAATTTATTTAACATTTATATGCACCAAAAATATTTTACAAATGTTGCTAATTAATTTTTATACCAGAATAAGCGAAACTAACAATAGATTGATTTCCTTTTAGTTTACAGTCTAATATGGCATATACAAGAGCAGTTTGGATTGAAAATAACAAGAAACATGAGCAAACTGTTCCATCATGTTGATTTAATGATAGCCTAAACATTGTTTATTGGCCTAATGGTTTGCAAATCAAACGCGAAGTTATGAATTTGGAACCTCCTGTCTGAACCTGAAGTTTGGATGGAGTCAATTTCGTCTGATAAAACGGAAACTTGTGGATGAGGGAAACATTCTTTGCAAAAGTGTTTTTGCATGCATTTGAAAAATATAAATATTATACTATTAAGAATCAATAAAAGGTTGGTTAGAGTTTTGTGAGGAAGCATCAGGTTATAAAACATCTGAAGAAATAATGGCTACAAAGAAAGTAGAGAAGTCTGTGGAAAGTAACCATGGTAGATTATTATATCATTATTTCAGTGTGCTATCTGTTTAAATATGTCACACTGCATTTTTATACAAAAGAAAACATTCTTAACTAAAATGTTTTGATTTTATAATTTTAGCAATATTGCAGCTGAAAATAAATTATTTTGAAGCCATAGTATTAGTTCTAAAATTTTTTAATTGTTGCATTTTAACAATAGTATTTTTTGACATTTCTTGTTCAGTTTATGGGTTAAACAGCTTAACATTTATTTTTAGAAAAATTTCCTTGTTTACCAAAATTTCTAAAACAATATCATTATTCCTCTTTACAGAAAAGTGGTAAGGAAATGTCTCATCATAGATATGAGAAAATGTCTCGTCCAAGAAGTGAGGAAATATCTTGCTCACAGTTTCAATCACATTTTCATTCAATCTCTCGCTCACAATCTCATTCAAAATCTAACTCATCTGGAAGTTCAATGTCAAAAATATCAAGGTCTAGATCCAATTCGTTTTCATATTTATCAACTTCTAATTTAGATGAGACTATCCATCATTTTACAAAATCAATGGTCTCTAACTCTACACCTTTTCAAAGAAAAGATTCTGTACGGTATAAATATGGTGATTTTTCTATGGATATGGGAGGTAAGAATGATAAAACATTTTGAAATGCTGTTTTAACTAAACTAGCTAGTTAATTAAATAATTTCATAAGTAAAGAAAAAAATATATGTATATTGAGATGGTATTGTTATAAGAACTTATAATATAAATATTTTTAACACATTAAAGTTGCTAAACACATAAAGTATAAAACAAAAATTATAAAAGATTTTGTTTTTGCAGTTTCTATTGATTAAGATTTTCAATATATTGTGGTAAAACTTCTATTAAAACAAATTGAAAATCAAGAAACTATTATTCAAAATGGATCTGGGGTTTTTTTAAAAGCAGCAAAAAATATTCCAGCAAAATTCATGGAAGTAGAAGAGCTTCCCAAATTTGATGCAAATTTAAAAGTAGATGATGAAAATGTAAACAATTAGTAAGTTTAATATGTGTAGTACTACTTATGTAGTGTAGTTTATCTTTTTTTTTTTTTATTATAATTTTTTTTTTTTTTCATTTATCTTGAAAATCTCAGTCTTGTCTATAGAAAAAAGTTCTCCATTCTTTAAACTGCTTTCTACATGTTTAAATCTGCTTTGGAATCATCCATTAAGTATGTAGACTGGTATGGGGAAGGGTATCACCCAAAAGCCTACAAGAGGCAGTTATTTAAGGCAGCATGTTTGTACTATCTTTTTTATGAATTTACAAAACTTTACTTATTTGTTTTGAAGAAAGGCAATGTTTTTTATCTATATTTGTTATTTTTTTTTTAATTTTTTTTGAGTCTTTTCTGTTTATTAATGCACTTTTGAATTGCCCAAAAATTAAAGTTTTTTTTAATATTTTTTAAATAATAAGGGAAGGGTCTCAATTTTCTAAAAAGTGTGCGCATACACGGTGGGAATCCTTAAAAGCATACAATTGCATACAAGAGGGTTACGAAATCAGTAGTTTTATTGTGTACGCACTTAATGGATGGTCTTTAACTAGCTCACAGTTTCTTTACAATTTCAATTTGAGTAACTTTTTTTTGAATTATATTTAGTCGTTAAAGCATTTAATTTTTTTCAGTTGACTATAATTTAAAAAATGTCAATTATATAAATAATATCAAAACTTTGATACTTTATATTTAAACAGGTAGCTCAACTTTCAAAGATTGGTGGGATATCTTTAAAAGATAACGTTAAAAACATAATGGATAGGTAATTTTTTATATTTATTCGTGAATAAGTGCACTTACCTTATTTAGTTTACTTTATATATTAGAGTTTTACTACAGCTATATGTTATTATACAAATAATAACTTGATTTTATAGTCTAATGTCATACAAAGTGATGTTGTGCTTCAAAATGAAAGGGATAAATCGTCACGATAAAAAAAAGAATATAGATACAGTATCAGAAAAACAAATTTTTGAAAAATTACATATTCTTGATCTTATCATAGGTAAGCCAGGGTTGTTTTTTATTAATTGTTATTATTAGGTAAGTAGTTATTATTTTTTAATGTTCCCATATTTCTTATTTCATTATTCGTTTTATTTTTTTTTCATATTTATTATGTTAATTAGCTCTTATATTAACATAAGTTTTATTAACTCTTTAACATTAGTCTTATTAGCACTTTTGTTAACATAAGTTAACATATACTATGCACTTATATTTAGCGGCATAACAATTGCAGAAACAAAAAGTAAAGATTTTAAGATACAAACCTGACAAAGTCGATGTTGAAGAAGGTGGGCGTCGTATAGAATTATATAAAAATAGACATGTTTAAAAATAGACATGTTTAAAAGTTGACTGTTTAAAAATATATATATCTTAACTTATAATAGTGTCTTTATTATTTTTTTTTTACGCCTTTAGTCCTTCGAATATTTTTTTTTTTTTTAATTTATATTTTTGTTCATTTTAGGAAAAAAGCTATTGTGTGTAAATAAAATACACACAAAATAAATTTTTTCTTGACTTTATTCGAAAATAAATATAACGGAAGTCGAATTGATATCGTTAGATGTAAGAACGACATCGTATTTACATCAAAATGGTGACGTCGCTCCAACATGTCTGTTTTTCGACGTCGCCCAACATTTCCATTTCCAACGTAAATTCAACATTATTTCAACGTAACATCCGACGTTAATCCGACGTTGTTCCGACAATATTTTTGCCCACTGGGTACATATATATATATATATATATATATATATATATATATATATATATATATATATATATATATATATATATATATATATATACATATATATATATATATATATATATATATATATATATATATATATATATATATATATATATACATATATATATACATATATATATATATATATATATATATATATATATATATATATATATATATATATATATATATATATATATATATATATATATATATATATATATATATATATATATATATATATATATATATATATATATATTTATATGTTAAGTTTTTGTAAAATATGTTTTACATTTGTTTGACATTAAAACTAAATTTCTCTTCTTATTGCTCTAGCAATTAATTTTGTTATATGTGAATGAAATGTATATAGTCTATAAAAAAATGTTCTTTAACAACAAAAAATAAACAAAAGTATTATTATTATTTAATTAAAGTTAACAAGTACTTTAATTACTTAAAAAGCATTGAAAAACTTCAAAAGAATTGATATGAAGTTGGTAAAGTAGAAAGCGTTCTAACTATTAAAAATAACGTTAGAGCGAATTTTATATTAGTTTATAATCACAGCAGCCAGCTTAGATTCTTTTTTGTTCATGACTGCAATTTATTGATTAAACCACAAAGACCTGCGTAGCAGTTTTTTTCTCCCTCCCTAATTCCCTACTTTTTCCATAACTAATTCCAGTCATATAATGTAAATGCTAATTGGCTTATTGAAAAAAAAAAAAATTGTAAGTTGATTTTTACCCTATTCTATTACATTAAGTCAATAACAAACTCTTAACCCTAATATAGTAAATCATTTACACGTGATTATTAACAATGTGATTTTTATAAATCTAATTTGAAATGTTAGATTTCGTATCATGAGATTTTTCCCCTTTAATGGTAAAAATGTTCATTATTGTTTTATGAAAAAGCAAACATACTTTGTGTTTTCGACAAACAAATACATCTAAATCAACAAAGTTTCGTATTCAGATATCAAATGCTTCATATAACTAATTTTTAAAAGTTAAAAACATTTACTTTTAAAAAAAATTAAAAAACATTTACTATTTAATAAACTCAAATGTTCGAAAAGTTTAATAATATATATAAATACAAGTAATAACATTTTTTTATACACACCTAATTATTTGTGAAGAT